CACGAAGATTCGCGGTATCACATTTCGGCCACCTTTGTTGGCGGAGTTTACGGCACGCCAATGAGAATATTTGAACGTGGTGAATAGGAGCCTTTAAAGCCGGCGGCTCACAACGGATGCAAATATGTGCGAAACTCGACTTTATTTCAGGAGGACAGGGCGAACGCGGCCCTTTACGAGGGTCTCGCGCGGAAATCAAATAACGAATAAATTAAATTAACTTTTCAATAAATTCTGCCGCGCGCCGTTACAAACGCTTAAATATGTGATAAAAAGTTCATCAGGTTTCGACCGAACCTTTATTTTTACGTTAATGTTTGCATCTCGCTCGTAGCAATATCGAGAACGCGGAAACGCGCGCGCCCGACCTATATTTCATCTAATCGACGAAAATAAGAGAAAAGTATCCTTTCGTCTTGTATCTCATAAATGTTCTCGTAACCACTGTGCGGAATTTTACAGTGCCATCAGACGCGCGTAAAAACCCTTTTCCGCGAGAAATAATTTTCCGGCCGCGCGACGCCACTTTTGTAACGAGCCATCAATTTAGCGTGAATAGGTGCGTTTCAATTTTCGAAAACTTTTCTCACCGTGAACGTGGACAGAAGAGATAGAGCGCGAACCGCGCGAAAATTTCAATCTCTCCGGCCGGGATATACACGCGCGCTGATACACCTTATCCAGATCACTCGTAAACCATCGCCGCCTAGAGAATCCAAGTAGAAATGTACTCGAAAGAACGCGTTTCTTTCTCTCTCGTCCATTTTTTAAACCGATATCAATCCGGAACTCGCTTTCTGACGGCACCTCCGATAAATCGCGGCCGCTGAGTCGAGCGCTCGTTACTAACGCAGGGTCAGTGAAATGTTCTTTTTCCCGTTTTTCTTTTCTTTTTTTTTTGAGATAGCAAGACACAACTCACGAGTCAGTTGTGCACTGAGAAAAACGACCGGTCGGAAAGACGAAAGTGGCGGTCATTCTTGTTCGAATAAATATCAATATTGCATTGAACAAATTACGTGTTGAGGAGACGTCGAACTTTATTGATACAATCCGCGAAACTAATGGTATAATTGCAATATCAACGAGATATTTATTACGGTATTCATCTAATTCCAAATAATGCGAGTATTTTATTCGCATAATTTGACTATTATGTCCCGGAATCGCAAATCTAGCGTTAAATGTGCGGTGAGAACGCAAATTCCAAGTTATTTTTATCTCTCCTCTTCGCTCATACGAGATGTGGAACTGGGAGGCCGGAGCGCGGTGGCAAGAAAGAAATAACCAGCGATCTAATGGAACTCGAGTCAACGTGGAATCAGCAGTCGCGGGATTCGAAGGAAAATCCAAGAGAAAATAATGTTCTTTGGTTGTTTTTCACGATCGAAGAGAATGTTATTCATCGATTCCGCGTTATCTCACTGCCAAACGAAAAAAGTATTCTATCCTACGAATTATTAACGATGTAAATATTTTTGAACTGATAAAACACGAATAAAGTATGCATATTCGCGTCGAATCTCTAGTTTCTGAACGATTATCGAAAGATTTTAATCGTCATTTATCTGACCCTTCAGGACACTCAAAGATACATAATATGAGGGGGTCAAATTGCATCGTTAACCAAAACTTGGCTGCTATTGTTCTCCAACAGACAGCTCGTTTGCCCCCCGTTGCGTAGAATTTTTTCCGAATAGTAACCACCCACATATATCGGAAATGGATGCGAGTGCGCTTCTACGTTTGCGATATCCGGGATATTCCGTCGCGCGACGAGCAGGTTACGCGCGGACAACGTTTACTTTCCGCTTCATATCCAAGTACTTAGTATTCATGCGTTATATATGCACACATGTACGGTATGCAGATTCGATATCGATGATGCATTCGCCTCGAATGCAGAAAAGAGAGAGCTTTTATGCGAATTATTAATACCCGAAAATCGACGCGAAATGCCGTACGAGAACGATTTGATCGATGATGCCTTTACGTCGCCCGGGAGAGATATTTTATTACTATGCGTTCTCTTCCGCGAGATAATAGTGCGCGCAAGTGCGAAAGCGGATATGCGGTTTTAAAAACGGAGAGATATTCACCGCTGATTGGATATCGATTTAACATGGAAAGCCTGCAACGTGTTCGCGTGCTCGTCTTCTCTCGTTAAATTTATCGTTGAATATGTTGCTAGGGTAATCAAAGTTTCAATTAGAATTGGGGGATTCGCAACTATCGTTCCGTTTGATCGAAATTAGAGCCTGCGGATTCTCGATTTTTATCTAACCGAGTGAAATATCTGCTACATGAATGCGATTACCGGACTAATAAACACACATCCAATTGCTCAAGTTTGAATAGAGGAGAAAAATTGACTAGCCTATAATAAATGCAAGTATTATTACAGTTGTTTAATTAATTAGGACATTCATTGTGTGCACTGTCATTGTAGCCGCTATTTTCGCGACGACATTTATTTGAACTATGAAGATAGAAAAAGAATGAAGTAGGGCACACCGCAAATTAAAGAGTAATGTGAATAAAAAATTCCTGTTATGAGCCTCCTGAATTCGTTTCTAAATTTTACAGAATATTGTCGTGTATTAAGATACGCTATCATATTCAACGTTAATTCGACCGATAACATACGATATTACCGAACTCACGAGCGTTGATTAAAGCGAGAGATAACAATAGCGAATATAATAAACGCGTGCGAGCGATAAATTTACTCATCGATGAAATGATCGCGATGTTTTAACACGAATCACAGTCTGCGTACAATTGCATCGTCGTTTTGATGAACGAAACGACAATTTCCGTTTATTATTTTCTTGTGATTCGAGTGATGCGACGGAAGATATTTTTACATTCGTGCATTTTCTCGCTCCGTCGTATCTCAAACGGATACGTGCGTTTGTAAACATTTAGTCGACAAGGGAAAATCAAGAATAATGATTTTCTTCGGCGATTTCCCGTGGTCGTAACACCCCGTTTCGCATCGGGGCCCGTTCGCGCGAACGTTTCGCCGCAGCGCCCATGTTTCATGCGATATGAATAATAATCTATAGGATGACTACATCGCGCTCGCATCGCGCCTCACGCAAGCGTGAACCAACGCTGAATTTGTAATTGAATTATACGACGCCTTCCACTGATCATCCGATCGCAAGATCACCAAGATTATTTCGATCCGATTTCAGTTTTCATTCGTCGTTCGACATTCATGAGCGAAATATTCGTCTCTCTATACCTTGGGAAGAAACAACTCGATGGTGTTAATCGCGAAATGGCTTTCAATTACAAATTCCGTGGCGAAAGAGCTCGTGCGAGGTTGGCTCTCGCTCGTTAGGCGACGAGCACGGCAAAAGTTACGCAAATATGTGTAGACAATGTGGGAGAGGGTTGTTGAGGACCGGGGATGTAATTACAAGCGAGGGTGCTTCGAACCTTCGCAGTGGAACCGAACGTTCTACTCGTTAAAGCGCCGGAAATGTCTCAATTATCGCGTCATTCGTGCACGATAAAACTTGTATCTCGAGGAACGATTTAGGAACGATTAGGAACGCGCTATAAATGATATTATTGCGCATACTAGTAGAACATTCGGTACATATCTTATTCAACGGCCACTCGCTAGTCGGCGCAGGATCGAGGAAGCACGTGAATACCGAAATCTTCGAGATAGGAAACTTTTGAATGTGCTTTGTGTTACGATTATTACCTTTCGTTGCGCATCTTCGTGCTTTGTCTTCGTACTCATTCGTGTGCCCACGGAAATATATTACGTTGTCAAAATATTTCGCGCATATGATTCATATTTCATGTATTAATGCAAAAAAAAAGGTAGTGTGTAACATGCGCGTGTTTCGCGATATTGTTTACATTTCAATAAATCGTAGTTGAAATCAGCGCGTATCCGTCTATTATTCGTTGGCGGTAAATTTTTAAGCAAATATCGAACGTTCAAGATTATATACGATTTTTCTTCAAATATATTTTTCGTCTAATTTTTTGAAAGTATCTTGCGTGATATATACGAATATATTTTTCACACAAATCTTGATCCCGATTGTTTAATTATAAATAGAACAACAACACTTCCGCGTGTTGTCGAGGGAATGGAAACCGCTTTCGCGAGATCGGCTCTCCGATTGATATTTATTTCACGAAGGTCCTTCTCGAATTCTAAGATTCACGAGCTTTCTTGAAATCGCCGGTCAAATTTTGCTTCACATTTTTCCGTAACTTTTGGAACGATGCGCCGCGATGCGAGATGCAACGCCCGCATCGAACGTACCGTCCTACTTTGAAATGCAATATGCACGACGATGTTACCTCTCTTGTCGAGGTCGAGTGGACACTCGTTTCCCGTTTGGCTTCATTATTCATCGCAAACAATTGTATACCAGCACGCACACGTAATATCGAGTTAATGTAAACAATCAGATTGATTTAGAGTTTCGATTAGAAGCGAGATTACATCAAAATAATTCACGGGAATGAAGAAAGAAGTAATTACGCTTGGAAAACGATAAAACACATGCCCGTGATACGCATGCCCGTTATCTGGTAAAACTTCGATTCGATGAAAAAAGAAGATGGAAAAACAGACAGATCCAAACTATGCGATTACAAAGTCATAAACTAAGAGTAATAAATCGTGAATACTTTAAATTGATCGTGAACATCACAAATTGAAACACACAACGGTACATGGAGCTTAATTTAAGTCGCGTTTGTATCAATTTGAAGGAATGTAACATCGTGCGCTTCAATGCCGATTGCAAATTGTGTCGCAGAGCAACACGATATAGATTGTAAAAAAGCGCGCGGCGTTAAACGTGTATCCGCTCGATTCCGATGTTTTTTTCTCTCTCGGTAGCATGCTGTACCGCTACGATATGTAGATATATATGTATATATATACATATATATATCCAGATCAACGTGGATCCATAATAATAAAAATCGGAAACAAGACGCAGTGTTGACGAACTTACTTGTTATAGAGCACTATATCGGGCCGCCATATGTGATCGGACGGCACGTGCAACATGTGAACTCCTCCGTATTCCTTCGGCTCCCAGCGCAGTTTGTAGTCGTACCATGACTTGAAACAGCCAATACAACAAATATAAACATATTATTGATATGCTTCTACGTGTTATTGAATCGTTAAATTAATGCATCGCGAAATTCTTGAGTCGCGTCGTAAAGATAAATATTTAAGATGGCTCGTGATTTTAGAGATAATGATTATTTATTACGTCAAAATCATTGCAATTCATTTTGTCGGTAGATTCTTGCATAACATTTTTTGCACGTGTAAGTTGAACGAAATTCGCAAAATAGGATATGTGTTTTCTTCGAAAAATAAAAACAGGATATATCGGTTTTCGATTTCGATAGAGATACCGTGGTCCTCAATTTGATATTTTTCATGTGTAATTCGTGAGAGTGTTCTTAACATTATAATAATTGTATTTTTACTGACTTGTAATTGTATTATTACACTTGGCTTCATACTTAATTCATATATTTATGAAGGAAGCTTATATATGCAGTGACCAACTCCATATTGAAACTAGTTTCATTTAAACGCGATATTAATGCGCAGTAGGGGCAACGTGATGTATAATTTCGATAACTTCGCGATCTCGCTCGACTTTTCCCTTTTTTTTCTGGCCGGTTGTCGCCCTAAAGCCCAGACGTAATTTCTTATGATAATGATTTCTGTTGCTTTGTAAAGTGGTAAAAGCCGCGTTCCCCCGACGGTTACCGTCGCGGACTAAAAACTCGAGAGACAGCGCGGCAGCGTCGCACTTTCCCCCACAAATATTTCCCGCCGGAATTTTCCTTGAAAAACCCTCTTTGTCTGTGATTCAAGTGAGAATTTATTCCGTGCAGCGGGTGAATACTCGAGCAAGCTGCTCTCGCCTTTCTCGCATGTTTTCCACCTTCCTTTCGTGCAAGAAAGATTTCAATAACCATCATATTTTCGGACTTTCGGCAATAGAGCTCTCGTCGTATAGATTGCAATCGGTTGCAATTTTTCTACAGGGAGATATTCAATAAAGAAAAATTTATTCCACGAATTAAAATGCTAAAAGGAAAAATCTATTGAAGATTTTAAATCAAATATTAAGAATTGTTGTTGTTGTTTAATTATACTCCGCGGAAATTGGTATTTAACGCAATTAATATATAAAATTCTTTTAGTATTTTTCAAACCAAACGATATTTTTCGTCGGATATTCCACGTAACGAGACGAAAATCTCTTCATCTATATAAAATTGTTTCGAGTTTTCGCTCGATATGAGGAGAAATTGTACGAAACGTCGTGCGCTCCGTACACGAGTCACGTATGTTTTCCTCCGCAGACACGTGTGTACGTGCAATTTTGCTAGCGTGCGACTGGGGCGTGTGTGCTACCAAAAGGGATTCGAATTTATCCCACGAAGGCGTCAAGTGAAAATCCGATAGCCGCTTGGTCTTTTTTCTCCTCTCGATATCCTCCGGTCGATCATATACGATTGTATAAACCCTTATCGCATAATAATGCAAACGCGTGACTTGCATAACGCGATTCCAATACGGTTAAATAATTGTGTAATAGTTAATAGCGTGAATAGGGCTTTGCGATACGCATAAATAAAAGTGTAATTTTTACATCAACAAGAATTATAAGTAGCGTACTCTTGTCGCGATCGCACTTCGTGAGTAGATGGGGTATCGCACGAAATGCGAGAAATACACACGATTAATTTTAAAATTTGTTTGAAAATCAGAGCGAGAGAAATAATCAAGAATAAGAACGAAAATAAAGAATCGTTTTTGAGGTTACAAACAGTTTATGATAATTTTGTATGGGGGGACATGTAAAAGGAGAGGGAAGAGAAATTCTGACATATTTAATAGGGAATTCACCTTTCGTCTCGCGTGGGACATTGCGAGAGGAAATAACTGGAGTTGCGGCTATTTACATGTCTATTAGTCACGACATATCGCGGAGCGCATATACACGTGATGCAGCTTTCCTAATTACGCGAAACATTCATCTGGGTTAGCTCAACTCGGCAATGCGTACGGATTGGAGCTGTACGTGCGTATGTGTACACGTCCGCGTGGCTTGGTGGTGTTACACCATCGGTAATATAAACCGCGGTTCAAGCACTATAGCTGGTAATTAGGAGATCATCTATAGATGGGTCAATTATTTCACTATATATACTCGGCGCTCTCTCGTCGATGCCATAGATTTCGAGAGGGAGAGAAATCGCGCGTCAATTCATTGATTATCAAATATTTAGAGCAAACACGTGTGCCCATGAACGGAGCTCGTCGCCTTTTTATTTATTCTTTCGGTACAAGAAAGAGGCGCGATATATAAAGTGTCGCTTTAGGATGTACTCGTAAAAATCAGTCGTTGCATCTACGTTTCGCGCCATGCGTCTTCGTGCCGTCGGCTTGAAAATTTGGCACGAGCGTTTGACATTCGCAGTATCATAAATTATTTCCACCTTTGTGTTAATACCGCCATTAATATATTTAATGCACGGTGTGCGCGCGATGCAACGCCTCGTTATACGGTCTGTGCATTTGGAGGGCCCGTATAGATTATGAAGTACGTTGATTTATGGACCAACGTCCGGCCGCATTAAATAAATATTCATATTTCACACGCATCGCGTTACACCCGTTAAGTATTATACCCGTATGATCGATTGAGTGGTGTGTTTACGCACGTTTTATTAATTGAGTAGCGAAGAGAAACGGGGGATAACTCAAAAGGCTCGTGATAATGTTTTGCGTCACTATTACGTCGCGTTGAATGAGGCAACAAAAAAAAAAAAACGCAGAAAAAATATTACAACACAATTTTGACAATTAAAACGCATTTGTGATCGTGTTACTTCCATCCGTTATTGCGAAAATTATTATGTTAACTCAATTTTGCTTTTTATGAGCATTAATAATTAATGGTGATTAATTATTACTTGAATGTATTTGAATGTCAGCGTCAGCGGCATATACATCCAAATTTGAACATTGTTATTAAAATAACCAATCACGGAAAGAAAAGCATGTTTCCAGCCGGTAATGTATCTTATGATTGTAACTGAAACAAACAGGGCTTCTAAATTATTCAGTCGGAGAAAAGTTTCCGCATGATGAAAGAGCCGACGGTGTTCGATTTTACCGAGCCAAGTCATCAACCTCATTGAGTTCACAATTTTTCCTCGCTCATTCGTCCTTTCTTTCGTTCGTTCCTCCGCGTCGCTCGATTGCATCCGGACATGCTCGCACATACACGCTCACACTGCACCTGCAACTGCACACGTGCACATATTCCACTTACGGGGAGCAACTGGAGGAAGAAACATACGTGCTCCGTATGCCGGAAAATATCGAAGCGGAAAATTGTGCATTGGGATTGCGCGAGATTTCATGGAGTCGCTCGAGAGAAGAGGCGAGTAGCTTTCGAGATGATAGCTCGGAGGACGAGAGGGTGGTAAAGAGGGGCAGGGACGGCCAGTTTCGAGTGAGACGTATCCCTCGATAACAAGAGAGGGGCGAGAGAACCATCTGTCTCGAAATATCCATGGTGAATAGCGTTTTACGTATATATACAGAGTGCCTCGAGATCTCTCGCAAAGTCGCGTGGCACTATAAGACCTCATCGGGCAAATCATCTCCTATTTTTCTCAGTCGCTAGTACTTATTATTCACTATTAATTTCCAGCTCGAGTCGTTTCCCTTCACGGCGATTCTTTGCATACATCCACGATTTCTTGTTCGTTTCGCGAAAGACCGCGCGAAACCGATCGCGTTATACTTTTCACATCTCTCATCGATTTTGTCATCCGTTTATCTTCGGATAAAGATTATCTCGAAATAATAATAAACTGAATCGAGCTGCGAAAGCCTATTATCACAAACCGAAAATTGTCCTTAAACTACGTCAACCCCGTATACACACGTGTACGTCAGACGCGTAAAAGTGCGCTCGTGTTAAGTCCTGGAATTGTCGAAGCTTCCCCTTTCTGGTTTATACAACCGCGACGATACGAGCCGGGAAAAAGCGAGAGACTGAGAAAACTGATCGTCTGAGAGCATCGAGGAGGTTGAAGGAATGAGGTAGTTCAGATTGCCGGCAGCACGACTGATCCCGAAAGATAACAAAGCGCAGCTTTCACGCCTCTACGAATTCATGTTGGATACCGCGAGAATTTCTGCGCGGATTTCTTTTCGATCTTTTTTCACGAGATCAGTCATGTCGCGACAATGCAAAAAATAAGGCGCGAATTCGATTGTAAATTTCGTTTGAATAACGCGCGATTCAGATTACAAAAAGTAAATTTTAAATAGAGAAATAGAATAAAAAACTAGAGGTACATATCCCGCGCATATACTAACATGACTAACGCGTTAAGTACCGTGTCGCGCATTAACGCGTATTAAACCAAACGCTCGCACATTTCACAATTCGTGTCATGCCCGTTCTGGACTGACCGTAAACTACGCATCTGAAAAGGGTCACGCGAAAAAGAGACCGGCCAGTTTTACGGCAGTCGCATATATAAATATCCGCATTTTTTTTCATGCGAAAAAATAGGCAAAATCTCTGGTAGCTGCGTCGGACGCGGTTAAATGCGTCTAAAATCTCGTGGCGAGATCACTATAACGCGATGAGAATATCCGTGCAATGTTACGACGTCACTAAAACGCAGTTGAATTATTTAATTATTTTTATTATTTAGTTAACGCTTTCGCGTGTCTCCTTTTCTAGAATTAAATTCTATGAAAGTTGTTGGATGTGCGATTTATACTTTCTCGTCAGCTGAACTTCCGTGAGATCAATCGAAACTCACGTGATATTAAACCATATTAATGTCTCGCTTCATAAAACGTTAATGCGATTTGTAATGTCGGAAACGTATATGTCGCGTTTTCCCGATGTTAGACAGAACGTTTCAGGATGGAGTAGAACATCGATGCTGGTCGATGGATTCAATCGAGATACGACTCGCTACTCTCCCTACGGAGCACGATGGGAATAATATCGTTCGAGGGGAGTTGGAGGATCCGTCTCTCGCGAGAGATGAAAC